CAGATTACAGCTTTCCTTACTAAGCATTTAAATGATCCTTTGCCCTAAAATAATTCACTAATTTCAGACTGAATGTCATACGTATCAAAAAGACTCCACAATGGAGATTTACATTTCCCTTGAATGTTCTAATAACTCAAACAGAAGAGAGACAGTAAAAGCTCACAGTCTTTGATACAATTTGGGGATTAAAAATCAACTTAACATTTTGAAGAAGATTAATTTTGAGTATAAGTAAAAGTTTCAAAAGGGCCACCACTTCCATTCCCACTTCTGTTAATCTTTCTCTCCACCCCACTCTCTCCCCCTCCTTCTAATCTTCCCCCACCACCTCCACTGTGAGAACCAGCTGAATGCCCACAGCCCTGGGCAATTACTCTTCCCTGGGACAATCAATGATGATGGCAAGTTGGTCCACTGATACCTAGTAGAAATAAGTCAGACAACAAGGATCACATTGGCCTTGTCAATTTTAAGGCTAAGCAGCTTCCAGTTTTAAATGACAAAGACTTGGAGCTTAAGGGGGAAAAAGCATTACGGACTCCATTCTGGAAATGAAAAAGGGGAAAAAAGTAGAGAAAATCAACTGTCCACTGAAGGTTCAGGGCCTTCCAGGCATCCCCTAATACTGGTTTTCTTCCATCCTACCCTCCTTAGTTTTGTTGCCTTCCCAATCATCTCCCCATTTTAGCCTTTCCTCTCTTCCTACTACTCTGCTATGGGTTGACCATCTACCAGTCTAGTTATTGGGTTGCTGGAAGAAGTGGCAAAGACCATCAAACCCTTTGATTCTCCAAATGAGATGGAGATGAGAAGCTGACCTGGCCGGCTAGGGTCATGCCACTAGGGGACGCCATGCACCAGTAGGCTAGGATCATGACACCCAGTCCTCCAGCCTGTCCCTCAGCCTTCCAGCCTCATTCCTTCTTGTGCTATTAGGCTTCTTTATGCTCAACAGTCAAGAAAAGAAACACAGCCCTAACATACTTATAAGCTGAGGATTGTCGCTCATAATGCTGCTTTTGGAGAGCCAAGGACAGAAATAAGTAGGTGACACACAATGCTTTGGTGTGTCAATGAAGCTGCATGAGTCTAGTGAAACAAACCTCTCTTTTCCTTGGTTTTCACCCTGTGTGACAAAGGAGTAACTTCTTGGAGGAATTCAACAGTTTTCCAAGTGTCTGTTGAGTCAGTCCTTCTTCAGCCAGAACTGCAGACTGAATTGCAGACTTCTGACTTCCCAATTGTGCTGGCTGAGCAAGGGATGCTTACGCAAATGGATGAAAAACAGACTTAAAGCCTGAAGGAATAGAGAATTTTGTTTTACATTTTCCATGTTTACAACTGCCAATGGCTTTCCTCTTGGAATAAGAAAGAAGATATTCTCAGTGAAACTTTCACAAGCCAACGCTCTGTGGAAACCAACATTTACCAAAACTCCATAGGTTTCATGGAAGATGGAGGTGTGTGTGTGTGTGTGAAGGGAGAAACAGAGAGAGAGAGAGAGAGAAAGAGAGAGAGAAACAGAGAACATTCTCAGGTCCCAGACAGTCACAATTCCTGGACGCTCTCACTCTTAACACAGCAAAGGCCAAATGAACAAGCAAAGAAAAAAAAACAAGCATAAACTTTAAATCCATTCACAACAAACTCATCCTACCCAAGCCAAAAGAGCCGAGAGATGTTTTTTAAAAGCCATCCACCGAAAGTCAGATCCTTCCTTTGCCTGGCCATTTCTTAGTTCCTGGCATAGCACACTTGCAAGGCGGCTGCACCAAAACCTACACCAAGCGTGCAGAGCCGGTGAGGACCGGCATGGACGGTGCCACCCGCGCAGCGCTGCAGGATCCGAGCCGCCCCGGCGTCTAGGTCCCCGGTGCCCCCGGAGGGAACTCGGAGCGGCCCGGCCTCAGCCCTCCCCGGTCCCCACCCCCAAAGCCCCCTCTGCGTGTCCCTTGGATGGACCCCCCTCTCCCCCCGGACGCACTGACCTGGCCATGGGATGGGAGCCATGGGCGGCCCGGGTGGCGCGACTACTTCCCTGCCGGGGCTGGGTTAACTGGTTGGGGCGAGAGGCGATGCTCCCGTCGCCTCCTGCAGGCCGCCGGGCACGCGCGCGCGCGCACCCACTCACACCCGGCCTGGGAGCGCGCACACTGGGGCGCACTCACACTCACACCTGGCCCGGGAGTGTGTGTGTGTGTGTGTACGCGCGTAACTACACTCACACCCGGCCCCCCGGGCGCGCGCGCGCGCACTCACACTCATACCCAGCCGGGGGGACGCGAGGAGGGGGCGCACTCACACTCACACCCGACCCGGGAGCGCGCACACTCACACTCGCGTGCACCACCAGAGCCGTCCTCGGTGGGACCCGCGGGACCCAGCGCGCCCGGCCAGAGCCGGGGCCGCCCGGGGACTCCGCGCACAGGGGGCGCTGTCCCCGCCCCTTTTACCTGCCCAGGCCACCAGGAATCCGGTTCCCACCGCCCCGAGGCTGCCTTCGGGCGGCTCCACCAAGTCCCGGTGCCCGGCGCCCAGTGCTCGGCCCGCTCGGCCCCGGGACACCCAAGTGCCAGCGGCCGCGCTGGGCCAGGGGGACGAGGAAGTCACCAGCCAGGGAGCTGGCGGCGGTGCCGAGGGAGGGCCGGCCTCCGGCCCTCCTCCTTCTTTTCTTTTCTCCACGTAGCACCAGTCAACAACTCCCCGCACCCCCAGACGCCCTGTCCCAGTGGGTTCTTCCCCGCTACACCCCCTTTTACCTCGGTGGTGTCTCCAGCGCCCCTGACTTCTGCCATCCCCTTCACCCCATTCATTCGCCAAACTTCCCGCGCCCCGCTTGCTCTCCCGCAGGTCTGCTGACTGGAGGGGGGCGGGGAGCCTAAGCCTGCCATTCATTATCTCACCAAGCCTCTGCCCCCCC